ATGCAATGGTTTCAACCGTTTCCTTGATATCATGCTGAGTGAATTAAATTGTCTAAAGATGGTTGCATGTACTCCAGCCTATCTATTGCAGTGATGTGGACTCCCCCAAAATTTTTGGCAGGAATACTTGTGAAGCCTCCCACCTTGTTAATTATTTAATTCCTCATCACCATACATGACTGCATGTGACTGGACTGTAGAGCTCAGATCCAATTTGTTAATTGAGAGATCACTTTGTTCTATCAGCTGATCATTCCGTTGTTAATTTGCATGTGGGTGCTGTACTGTAACTTCTCCAGGTTGGCACCTTATTTTTGTTAAATCTGACACTACTCATGGCACACAACTCCTGCACTCCTCATTGAATCAGGATTGCGTCATTGGCTTGATGGTAATGGCAGAGTGGAAGGTATGCTAAGTGAGGAGTTTGCAGATTGTGGTTGAATACAATGCTGCTGCTAATGGCCCAAAGCACCTCATGGATAATGAGTCTTGAGTTGCTAGATCTGTTTAAAATCAAATACTTCAGCATGGTGGGAATACCACATATGAATGAAGGTATCCTTTGTCTCCACAAGAACTGTACAGTGGTCACTCCTTCCAATATCTTATGAACAGATATATCTGTGACAGGCAGATTAGAGAGGGTGAGGTCGAATATGCATTTCCTCCTGTTGATTCCCCCACCATCTTCTGCAGACCCTGTCTATCAGTTATGTCCTTCAGGACTCGGCATGCTGAATCAGCAAGCAGCGCTACTGAATGACTCTTGGTGAAGCACACTGAAATCACTCAGCTGCAATATATTTTGTACCTATCTGCAGTGTTTCTTCCTAATTCAACATTGAAGAGCACTGGTTCAACCAGAGGGAGAGCGTAAGTGGTAATCCACAAGGTTTCCTTGACCATGTTTGGCCTTATGCCGTGTGACCTAATGCTGTCTGGAGTCAACTTTGAGGATTGCCAAAGTCTTTTGGCTATATACCATTGTGCTACCAGCTTGGGTGGGTCTGTCTCCGGTGCAATTGGATGGAGAGATCTAAGACTGTGTGGTATTATTCTAAGAATATGATTACGTCAAGTTATTGCTTGGCTAGTCTGCAGGACAACTTTCACAATTTTGTCACATGTCCCTAGATATTAGTGAGGAGGCCTACAGCAGGTTCCTTTGTTCAAAGTTTTTGACAAGATTTGTAGCTTGGGTTGTGGATGAGGTTGTACATTTGCTCCCCGAGCTGGTGTGTTTGATTGCAGATGTTTTGTCACCCTGCTAGGTAATATCGTCAGTGTGCCTCTGGTGAAGCTTTGGTGTTCTGTCCCGCTTGTTATTTATATGCTTCAGTTTGCTGGGTGGTTGGCATCACTTCCGGTTCTGTTTCTCAGTGGTTTGTGTTTCGGGTCCAGTTCAATGTATTTGTTGATGGAGTTCTGGTTGGAATGCCAGGCCTCCACGAATTCCCTGGCATGTCTCTGTTTGATTGTGCTATTTGGATGTGTTGTTCCAGTCGAATGGGTGTCCCTCTTTGTCCGTGGGTACTGAGACCACTGAGAACTGGTTGTGTCTCTTGGTGACTAGGTGGTGTTTGTGTATCCTTATTGTCAGCTTTCTTCCAGTTTGGCCTATGTAATGTTACTCACAGGCCTTGCATGATATTTTGTATATTATGTTGGTTTTATTGGTTGTAGGTATGGGATCTTTTACATTCGTCAGTAGCTATCGTAGGGTGGTTGTTAGTTTGTGGGCTACTCTGATACCTAGGGGTCTGATTAGTCTTGTGATCATCTCTAATATGTCTCTGATGTACAGTAGGGTGACTAGTGTGTCTGGCCGTGTTGTCTCTTCTTGTTGTGGTCTTTCGCAGAGGTAATTGCAGATTGTGCTTTTTGGGTATCCATTCCAACTCCTGTTCTACTTTGCGCAGTTCTGGGTTGCTGCAGTGTGTTGTGGCTCATTTGAATAACATCCTGATGCAGCTCTGTTTATGCGTTCGGGTGTAGTTGCTGGTGTAATTAATTATCTGGTCCGTTTGGGTGGTCTTTCTGTATATGCTGGTCTGGAGTTCCCTGTTGTTCTTACGTTTCACCATTATATCTAGGAAGGGTAGTTGGTTATTGTTCTCTTCTCCTTTTGTGAATTTTATTCCAGAAAGGATGTTGTTTACGTGTTGGTGGGTTTCTTCTAGTCTTGCGTGTTTAATAATCACAAAGGTATCATCTACACAACGGACCCAGAGTTTGGGCTAGATAGTGGGGAGCGCTGTCCGTTCTAATTTTTACATTACCGCTTCTGCTATCAGTCCTGATATCGGGGATCCCATTGGTGTTCCGTTGATTTGTTTGAATATACAATCATTGAAGGTGAAGTGGGTTGTGAGGCACAGATCCAGCAGTTTTGGGTGCTGTCCTTGTTGATGTCGTGGGGTGTCTGCCTTCCTGATTTGTCCAGCAGTATGGCAATTGTCTCTTTAGCTACGTCGATGTTTATGGATGTAAATTGTGTTGTTATGGCAAAGGATATCATTATCTTGTCCTCTATGTTCTCCATGCCTGTGGATTGTCGATCGGTGGTTTATATTTTAAACTTTGTGGTAGTACCTGTTTTCTGAGGCATTCATGTAGGAAGTATAGTTGTTTGCAGATCGCACGCAGACAGAAGGCCTGTGGATAATGATACCCTTCGCCATAACAACACAATTTACATCCATAAACATCAACATAGCCAAAGAGACAATTGCCACACCGCTGGACGAATCAGGAAGGCAGACACTCCACGACACTAACAGCACCAACAAGGACAGCACCCCGAAACTGCTGGCTGTGCCTCACAACCCACTTCACCTTTAATGACCATATATTCAAACAAGTCAACGGAACACCAATGGGATCCCCAATTTCAGGACTGATAGCAGAAGTGGTAATGTAAAGATCAGAACAGACAGTGCTCCCCACTATCCAACCCAAACTCTGGGTGGGTTATGCAGATGGCACCTTTGTGATTATCAAACTCACAAGACTAGAAGAAATCCAATGACACATAAGCAATATCCTCACCGGAATAAGATTCACAAAAGAAGAAGAGAACAATAACTGACTACCCTTCCTAGATGTAATGGTGGAACGTAAGAACAACACAGAACTCCAGACCAGCGTATACAGAAAGACCATTCATATGGACCAGATACTTAATTATACCAGCAACCACCCCAACACGCATAAGCAGAGCTGCATCAGGACATTATTCAAACAAGCCACAAGACACTGCAGCAACCCAGAACTGCGCAAAGCAGAACAGGAACGCTTATACGGAGTTTTTAAAAGAAATGGATACCCAAAAAGCACAATCTGCCGTTACCTCCGCGACAGATCACAAGAAGACACAACATGACCAGACACACCTGTCACCCTACTGTAGATCAGAGATCTATCAGAGATGACCACAAGGCTACTCAGACCCTTAGGTATCAGGGTAGTCCACAAACCAACAAACACCCTGTGACAGCTACCGATGAACATAAAGGATCCCATACCCACAACCATTAAAACCAACTTAATATACAAAATACCATGCAAGGACTGTGAGAAACATTACATAGGCCAAGCTGGAAGAAAACGGACAATAAGGATACACAAACACCAACTAGTCACCAAGAGACACGACCTGTTCTCAAAGGTCTCAGTACCCATGGACAAAGAAGGACATGAATTCGACTGGGACAACACATCCATAATAGCACAAGTCAAACAGAGACATGCCAGGGAATTCCTGGAGGCCTGCTATTCCAACTGGAACCCCATCAACAAACACATTGAACTGGACCCAATATACAAACTACTGAAAAACAAAACTGGAAGTGATGCCAACCACCCCAGCAAACCAAGGCATATAAATAACAAGCGGGACAGAACACCAACGCTTCACCGGAGGGTGACGAAATGTTTGCAATCAAACACACTGGCTTGGCAAGCAAATCTGCCATCTCAGGTTCCTTTGTTGTTTCCAGTGGTAGCTTGACACTGCATGGTCTATCAGTTTTGTTAAAAATTTAACATTTCTGCCGTGGTTTTGTTTAACTAAGTGGCTTCGGCTGCTTCAGAGGGCAGTTAAGAATCAACCCACATCTTAGGTATAAAACCCTTAAGGTACTAGGAAAGGCTAATGGAGCCTTTACTGCAAAAGAATTTGAGTACAGCAGAAATGGAGTCTTGCTTCAGTTGTACAGGAGCTTAGTTGGAGGGCAGCTCCTGGAGTACTGCACACAGTTTTGCTCTGCTTGTCCCAGGAAAGATCTTAGTGCTATAGAAGGAGTGCAATGAATTTTCACCAGACTTGTTCCTGGGATGGTGGAACTGCCCCATTAAGACAGATTGGACAAACTGAGCCTGCATTCTCTAGAGTTTTGAAGAATGAGGGGTAATCTAACTAAAAGTTAGAAAATACTTAAAGAGAGAAAGGTTAAATGCACACAAGATGTTTCACTTGGTTGGTGAGTCTTGAACCATGGAACCACAATTTAAAAATAAGGTGGTTGTCACTTAGGTCCACAATGAAGATGTTTTTAAAATTCTACCAGAGGGCTGTGGTAGTTCAGTCTAATTATGGTTAAGATAGAGATTGACATATTTCTGAAGACCAGTGGTGTACAGTGTTACAGGAATGTGGTGGGTGAAAATTGAAATGTTCTATCAGCCATAATCATATTGAATGGCTGGGCAGGCTCAAAGTGCTGAACGGCCTACTCTGTTCCTAAGGTTGGGAATTCCTTCAAACTCCTCTATCTCTTTTTCCTTGTTTATATCAGTTCCTAAACTCTTTTTGATTAAGATTTTGATCAATTATTATAACATATCTTAAACATGGTTGTGTCAAAGTTTGCTTAATAATGTTGCCATGAAGCATCTTGGGATGTTTTACTAAGTTAAAGGTGCAATACAAATAAACGCATGTGCCATGTGAATTACCAGACACTTCGTTCATTTCACTCAGCAATCAAGTCTCTTACCTTTTTCTCCTTCTTGGTTTCTTCCTTCTCACCATCTTTTTTTTTCTCTTTCTTACTCTTCTCATCCTTTGAGATTTCTTTCTTGCTCTTCTTTTCCTCATCTTTGCTACTATCATTTTTCCCTTTCTCTTTTTTGATCTCCTTCTCAGACTTCTTTTTCATCACTTTCAATGCACGGTGGAAGAACTGTTTCTTCAGGAGCCTGTCAACATCACAAAGTAAAAAATGTTTTGGCCATTGCAAAAATATCTGTTTTCCTCTTTTTTCCCCCCTCTGCTGATGCCTACTCTTGCAGAGGAAAGTTTGCGGACATACCTGCTGCCATCTGGCAGCTCAAATTGCTGGTCAACACATATCCCTCAACCAAAGATACAAAACTAGATTAATCTGGTCATTATCTGGCAACTAAATATCCCAAGATATGAATGCTTCAGGCAGGATAGAGAGGGAGGTAAAAGGGGTAGAGGAGTTGCATTACTGGTCAAAGAGAATATCACAGCTGTGCTGAAGGAGGGTACTATGGAGGACTCAAGCAGTGAGGCAACATGGGCAGAGCTCAGAAATAGGAAGGGTGCGGTAACAATGTTGGGGCTGTACTACAGGCCTCCCAACAGCGAGCATGAGATAGAGGTACAAATATGTAGACAGATTATGGAAAGATATAGGAGCAACAGGGTGGTGGTGATGGGAGATTTTAATTTTCCCAACATTGACTGGGATTCACTTAGTGTTATGGGTTTAGATGGAGCAGAATTTGTAAGGAGCATCCAGGAGGGTTTTCTAGAGCAGTATGTAAGTAGTCCAACTCGGGAAGGGGCCATACTGGACCTGGTGTTGGGGAATGAGCCCGGGCAGGTGGTTGAAGTTTCAGTAGGGGATTACTTTGGGAAGTGATCACAATTCCGTAAGTTTTAGAATACTGATGGACAAAGACGAGAGTGGTCCTAAAGGAAGAGTGCTGAACTGAGGGAAGGCCAACTATAGCAAAGTTTGACAGGAGCTGGGGAATGTGGATTGGGAGCAGCTGTTTGAGGGTAAATCCATATTTGATATGTGGGAGGCTTTTAAAGAGAGGTTGATTAGAATGCAGGACAGACATGTCCCTGTGAAAATGAGGGATAGAAAGGGCAAGATTAGGGAACCATGGATGACAGGTGAAATTGTGAGACTAGCAAAGAGGAAAAAGGAAGCATACATAAGGTCTAGGCGACTGAAAGCAGACAAAGCTTTGGAAGAATATCGGAAAAGTAGGACCAATCTGAAATGAGGAATTAAGAGGGCTAAAAGGGGTCATGAAATATCTTGAGCAAACAGGGTTAAGGAAAATCCCAAAGCCTTTTATTCATACATAAGGAGCAAGAGGGTAACTAGAGAAAGGGTTGGCCCACTTAAGGACAAAGGAGGGAAGTTATGCGAGGAGTCAGAGAAAATGAGTGAGATTCTTAATGAGTACTTTGCGTCGGTATTCACCGAGGAGAGGGAGATGACGGATGTTGAGGTTAGGCATAGATGTTTGATTACGCTAGGTCAAGTCGGCATAAGGAGGGGGCAAGTGTTGGGTATTCTAAAAGGCATTAGGGTGGACAAGTCCCCAGGTCCGGATGGGATCTATCCCAGGTTACTGAGGGAAGCGAGAGAGGAAATAGCTGGGGCCTTAACAGATATCTTTGCAGCATCCTTGAGCACGGGTGAGGTCCCAGAGGACTGGAGAATTGCTAACATTGTCCCCTTGTTTAAGAAGGGTAGCAAGGATAATCCAGGTAATTATAGACCGGTGAGCCTGATGTCAGTGGTGGGGAAGCTGCTGGAGAAGACACTGAGGGATAGGATCTATTTACATTTGGAAGAAAATGGGCTTATTAGTGATAGGCAGCATGGTTTTGTGCAGGGAAGGTCATGTCTTACCAACTTGATAGAATTCTTTGAGGAAGTGACAAAGTTGATAGATGAGGGAAGGGCTGTGGATGTCATATATATGGACTTCAGTAAGGCGTTTGATAAGGTTCCCCATGGTAGGCTGATGGAGAAAGTGAAGTCACATGGGGTCCAGGGTGTACTAGCTAGATGGATAGAGAACTGGCTGGGCAACAGGAGACAGAGTTGTAGTGGAAGGGAGTCTCTCAAAATGGAGAGGTGTTCCACAGGGATCCGTGTTGGGACCACTGTTGTTTGTGATATATATAAATGATCTGGAGGAAGGTATAGATGGTCTGATTAGCAAGTTTGCAGATGACACTAAGATTGGTGGAGCAGCAGATAGTGAAGGGGACTGTCGGAGAATGCAGCAGAATACAGATAGATTGGAGAGTTGGGCGAAGAAATGGCAGACAGAATTCAATCCAGGCAAATGTGAGGTGATGCATTTTGGAAGATCCAATTCAAGAGCGAAATATATGGTAAATGGAAAAGCCCTGGGGAAAATTGATGCACAGAGAGATCTGGGTGTTCAGGTCCATTGTACCCTGAAGGTGGCAACGCAGGTCGATAGAGTGGTCAAGAAGGCATATGGCATGCTTTCATTCATTGGATGGGGTATTGAGTACAAGAGTTGGCAGGTCATGTTACAGTTGTATAGGACTTTGGTTCGACCACATTTGGAATACTGCATACAGTTCTGGTCGCCACATTACCAAAAGGATGTGGATGCTTTGGAGAGGGTGCAGAGGAGATTCACCAGGATGTTGCCTGGTATGGAGGGCGCTAGCTATGAAGAGAGGTTGAGTAGATTAGGATTATTTACATTAGAAAGACGGAGGTTGAGGGGGGACCTGATTGAGGTCTACAAAATCATGAGGTATGGACAGGGTGGATAGCAAGAAGCTTTTTCCCCAGAGTGGGGGACTCAATTACTAGGGGTCACGATTTCAAGGTGAGAGGGGAAAAGTTTAAGGGAGATATACATGGATAGTTCTTTACGCAGAGAGTGGTGGGTGCCTGGAACGCGTTGCCAGCAGAGGTGGTAGAGGTGCGCACGATAGTGTCATTTAAGGTGTATCTAGACAGATACATGAATGGGCAGGGAGCAGAGGGATACAGATCCTTGGAAAATAGGCAACAGGTTTAGATAGAGGATCCGGATCGGTGCAGGCTTAGAGGGCCGAAGGGCCTGTTCCTGTGCTGTAATTTTCTTTGTTCTTGTTCTTTGTATCCCATTGTTATTGATGGAAACTTGTCAGCAAATTGGTTGCTGTGTTTCTCACATTTTAACAGTGACCAAATCTTAGAATTCACTGGCTGTAAAACATTCAGGGATGTCCTGAGCTTGTGACAGATGATAAATAAATGAAAGCCTGCTCGTTACTAAACTTCCACTGGAAAATTCTTTCAGCTAAATCCTGGAATCATGGTGCTATTTCTTAGGCCATTTTTATCAAACTGAGAAATGGTTTTGTTGCTCAGTGTTATGGGTGCACTTATATTTGTTATTGAATGTACATGAACAAATATTTCAACCACCTTTTTAGGCACGATTTTAAATAAATATGGGTAAATGGGAATGGACTGGAAAGCTCACTGCTGTACAGTCCAACCAGGATCACCCTACCCATTATGGCAATGGTTTGCAGAGTTATCTGGAGTTGTAGGGAAGGAGTCCACTCACCCTTCCAGTTTCTAGTTATAAGCCAGCAGTACTGTAGACCAGCCTAGTTCAGATATCGGGTTACCAAGCTTATCACCGGTTCCACTCTTCAATCATTAATCATGGAGCTATCACATTCCAAAATGACTCTGCTTACGAAAATGGCATTATGTGCTAGAAAAATGGATCAGAATAGTTGGGTAGTTGTTTTTGACTGGCCGCAACTCAATGGGCCAAAGGCCCTTTTTCTGTGCTGTAGACTTTTATGACTGCAAGCACATTCCAACCTCATCTGCCAATCGAGGAAGCCCAATGATGTCAACAAGAGGAAAACAGACTTTACAAAATTAGCACTTACAAACTTCCACTCACCTGTTGCAGTATTCAACCACTGATTCTCGGGTTGTAAAGACTGCTTCCTCTCCTTTCTTTGATTTTGCCCATTTTGAATCCAGCAAGCAGTCCACTGCTTTGGAAGCTGAAAGGCGATGACAACATTGCACAGTATTTACAGCACAGAAACAGGCCATTCGGTCTAAGAGGTTCATGCCGGTGATACGAATTTCATCCTATCACTTTTCTTCTTTCCCTTCTCTGTTGTGTAATTGATGGTAGATAATAGGAATATGGCTGATGAAATGATAAAAGATTTTGCTCTGCCTCAATTATGGAGGATGTAAAAAACATTCCAGCAATAGCTGTAAATCAGGAGATGTCAAGAATGAATGGGGAGAGCGTGGGTGTATGGCTTTAAAATTAGAATATTAGCCATGATCATGTTGAATGGCAGAACGGACTCGATGGGCTAATTGGCCTATTCCTGCTCTATTTTCTATGTTTTTATGAATAGTCTTGACCAGTTGGATGTGAAAAAGATGATTCCTGCTTTGGGTCAGTACAGAACTAAGATACAATGATTGAAATTAGGGATTGCCCTTTTAGGATAGAGATTAGGAGAAATTTTCTGAGGGTTGAAAGACTTTGGAACACACTGCCTCAGAAAGTGATGGAGGCAGGGGTCAGTAAATAATTCTAATAGAGAGTTAGATAGATTCTTGTTAGGCAAGGGAATCCAGGTTATCGGGGCAGTTGAAAATGTGGAACTCGAAACACAAACAGGTCAGCCATGAACTTATTGAATGGTGGAGCAGACTCAAATGACAAATGGTCTCCTTCTGTGCGCACGTTCAAATGTTCGTTCCAATCAAAATCTCAACATGCAAACAAGTTTATATTTCATGGACTACAAACTAAAATTTAGGTATTCACAAAAAAGAAAGTTCTTCAAATAGAATTACTTTATGCAAAAGGTCATAAACTTGTGAAGAACTGGTGAGGCACTGGATTCAACAGATAAGTGGAAATGTAGCCAAATAAAAAGTGTGGGATTGAAGGACAGGGTGAAAAGTTATGAAGTAAAATAACATTCATGAAAATGCACAGACTTGTCAAATTTAAGTCTTTGCTTCAGAGTACAGCTTTTTTTTCCACGCACTGGAATGTCTCACCTACAACTGTCTTCAGAACAAGCTGAAGCTTTCAAGACTGAGATCAAGAGATTTTGGTTTGGCAAGGGTATCAGGAGCTAGGGTGGATAATCTTAAATGGACATCAATTGAGTAACTTTGTCCAGATATTCTGGATACAAACACAGGCACTAACAGGCTACATTATCTTTAAATTACTTTTCTTCTGCGTGGATCTTCGAGATCTGTGTGTGATAGCATGTCCGAAAGCAGAAGTTAATGCTGGCAACAGTTTGGCACACAAATCACCAACACAGGCACAATACAAGCACATATACAAATATATATGCATGCATTTGGCACTTGCGTAAATTGTTTTAATTTTGGCACTGTGATCTTACCAATGAAATAATCAACCCTGTGGCCCATCATGGTGGTCGACTTAGTCGGGCAATTGAAGCGCAAGTACTTGGCCACTGCTTTCTCCTCTTTAGTTGGTTCTCCCACCTCCTAAAATACAAAAGATAGCGGCACACTCAAATATTCATCCTCAATAGAGTTTTAAAATTGGAATTGCTCCTTCCAACCACTCATTTGAAATTAAAATGGTCCTTAATTAACAAGTTCACTGGATAATATTGTACAACTCAATACAGGGTCTGAGCAGCATAAGGTCAGTGCAGCACACAAAGTTTGCTGAAACAGACAGTCTCATTTAGTTCTTTAGAGAAGTGATTTAACTGAGGCTATGGAATAATTGCTCAGTATTTCAAGAATTTTCACCAAGATTGTAGCAGTCATAAATTGACCGATATGGGACTAAATAAAATAAAATATTTAGTCAGTGACCAGTTCACTTTATGACCCCGTTCATAACATGTACACATCCAATTAGGCTCCATACTGCTCCATTAGCAAACTCAATTTTCAACAACATGATGGAATATGTCATTAGCAGTGCAGTTCATTAGCACCCAGTCAATAACAATCTGTTCACTGATGTCTGGTCTGTATTCTGTCAACAGCATTTAGTTCCAGATCTTGGTCCAAAGAGGCATATATGCAATTCAACTCATCATGTGGTAGCATGTTCCACATTCTAATCACTTTCAGGACAACAGAGTTTCTCCTGAATTTCTGCTTGCATTCCTTAATTGACTTTCTTATTTCTGGCCCCTAGTTATGGACACCCCTAAAAGTGGAAGGATCCTTATATCTAAAGATATGAAAGAGTTTGATAGAAAAAAGACAAATTAAGTTACAAAACAGATTATGTATGGTCATTAAGTCTACAAAAGCATACTGGTTCAGTCATTCTCTGAATCTTTAGAAATTCACCAACTTTTGACTTATGAAAACAATTATTTTCAATTGACATTGTTTAAACTGAACAATGTTTAAAAGCCCACCTTTTCCTGAAAAACCAAATTACTATCATTTATATAAATGCTTTGGATGTGAACATAGGAGGTATGGTTAGTAAGTTTGCAGATGACACTAAAATTGGAGGTGTGGTGGACAACAAAAATGGTTACCTCAGAGTACAATGGGATCTCGATCAGATGGGCCAAAGGGCCACAGAGTGGCACATGGAGTTTAATTTAGATAAATGTGAGGTGCTGCATTTTGGAAGAGCAAATCAGGGCAGGACTTATACACTTAATGGTAAGGTCCTGGGGAGTGTTGCTGAACAAACAGACCTTGGAGTGCAGGTTCATACTTCCTTGCACGTGGAGTTGCAGGTAGACAGGATAGTGAAGAAGGCATTTGATATGCTTGCCTTTATTGGACAGTGCATTGAGTTTAGGAGTTGGGAGATCATATTGTGGCTGTACAGGACATTGGTTAGGCCACTTTTGGAATACTGCATGCAATTCTGGTCCCCTTGCTATAGGAAGGATGTTATGAACTAGAAACGGTTCAGAAAAGGTTTATAAGAATGTTGCCAGGGTTGGAGGGTTTGAGCTAAAGGGAGAGGCTGAATAGGCTCGGGCTATTTTCCTTAAGCGTCGGGGGCTGGCGGGGTGACCTTATAGAGGTTTATAAAACCATGAGGGGCATGGATAGGGTAAACAGACAAGATCCTGGGGTGGGGTAACTCAAAAATTAGAGGGCATAGGTTTAAGGTGAGAGGTGAAAGATTTAAAAGGGACCTAAGGTGCAACTTTTTCCACGCAGAGGGTGGTGCGTGTATGGAATGAGCTGTCAGAAGTAGTGACGGAAGCTGGTACAATTACAACACTTAAAAGGCATCTGGATGGGATATATGAATAGGAAGGGTTGAGGGGGATTTGGGCCAAATGCTGGCAAATGGGACTAGATTTATATAGGGTATCTAGTCTGTATGGAAGAGTTGGACTGAAGGGTCTGTTCCCATGCTGTACAGATCTATGACTCTACTAGGTTGTAGTTAACTAAAATATGTATTTGAAGTTGGCCATTTCTTCAGTTATTCTTTAATGATATTGTTTCAGGAGACACAATATGAAATCTGCATCTCAATGTCAATAATACTGTCCGATAAGGCCTTATATATATATAGAATATAGAATATCATATAATGCAATAACTAGCCTGCCTGACGGTTAACAAGTTCCCTGCTGGTTACTTTTCCACCTGCTGATACAGAGTGCTTTCTGGGTGTGCTAAATTCTAACAATATCAGGCTCAAAATAACTGGTAGCAAACTTGTTGATTGGAGGCACAGGGATTGTACTCAGTAGATGCATTCAAATCACCATGCAGTTCTTTTTAAGCAATAAACTCCTGGCTTCCTGTAGTTCCAAAGTACAGTCTATTTCTATTATGTGCAAATTCAAAGTCATTAATGTTTATAGTACAAAATACTTCTGTAAAAAATGCAACAAGTGACTTTGAATAAAACAAAATGAACAGAAGTATCTAAATACAGGAATGGAGTCTCCCTCAATGAGAAACATTTTTGTTCTCAAGCAACTAATGACCCTCCATGAAAAAAATCTCATTTCTAATGGAACATATTTTACACTCTTTTCCAATCAAGCAGCAACTTTCAGCCAATAATGCACTTGAGAGCAACTTAGAAAGTAACAGTTTTCCACTGGAAGAATGATCCAATCTACTGGATTGGTACAGCCAGATGCCAATGAGGATGACAAGTTCTGTTCAGTTTAAATTCAGTCTTTGGCCTCCACTGTTCATTTAATTCCAGCATGCTTATATTGCACGCATCATTGTCAAGGATATAGCTGATGGAGTTCCAGAAGTAAGTCACTTTTTTTCCCTATTGGCTTTCAATAGCTCCATCATACAATGGACAGTTCAGAACAGTGATGCCTCATTACAAAAACTGCTTCAAAGCTCCTTCTTTCTCAGCATCTGATATAATCATATGGGAATTTCAGAAGCCATGACTTGCTAATTTCACCCTGCAGTGCCTAATTTAAAGGCTGTTCTGAGAATCACATTTCAAATATTCAAGATCTTTCAATTAAAAGAAAATAAAATGCTTTGCTCTATGTTGACTGGTGGTTTAACTGTGCATTCTTTAGTTATTAAATTTGGCAACCCAATTTTCCCAGCTAAACAAAATCTCCAAAACGTGTAAGGAATGATTTGAGTACCCAACTTTATAGAACAATTTTCACTTAAGGAAATAAATGAGCTGATCCTAAGCAACATTAATTTTTATTTTGTGGCTTGCATCTGAAAGGATCAAGAAAATGTACTTTCCTGCAGCAGCTCAAAATCTGCAAGTACAATTTGCAAACGTTTAAAAAATCTGCTGTCAGAATCATTCTGAAAACAACTCTTACTTCCCTTTCCTCTTCAAAAATCCTTCAATGTGTTTGTTTTCGTCCAGAGCTTTGACCACAAATTTTGGGTGGACAACACCAATTCAGTAGTAAGGATATGTTTTAGCTGAGGGACTATTTTGACAAAGAACAGGGGAATTTCCCCTTGCATTATGGCCAATATTTAACGCGCAGTCAACATCACTAAAAGAGCTGACCTCGCCATTATCACTTAGCTACATGTGGAAGCTTGCCAGGCACAAACTGACGTGTTTTCTCCATTATATTACAATCATAGCTTAATTTCCGAATCAGAGTGATGCCAATAGCATGGGTTCAGTGGGTCCAGCACCAGCTGAGGATACCATGAAGGACTTTCCCTCACAACCTCTCCCCTCACTTTAGGCATGACAACTCTCTGGTTAAACCATTACCAATCATCTTTTTCAAATCAGAGAGCAGCCTATGGTCTGGTGGGGCTATGGCGACTTTTATTACAGTTTAAGTTTACTTAAATCCATTTAAGTCTGGCGAACTACGTAAAGGATGTGCAAGTAAGGCTTTTCATTGTTCAACAAAGTTTCAACACTAGTCTGCACAGGACCACATATAAAAAAAACATTCTTACAAATTGACAACAGTTACCGTCAACATGCCATTCATTACTGACCACATGCTATAATGATTAACGCAGCTTTGCACTGTCACTGAGAATTCCAGCTAACTAGTGAAGTGGAAATGAAAAGTGAAAAGGCCCGAGGCTACTTAATCATAACAGCAATGAATTGAATTACAGGTAGTTCTCCTATAACACGATACTTGTGCAACCTCGCACTATCGGAAATTGCTATAGTAAATCATGTTATAAGGAAATCGCTATATTGTACAGTAGAAAGTCCACGTTATCCAAACAGTGTCCACTATTCATCAATCGCATTACAGCCAATTCACATTGACGAAACATGCGTTATAGCAGAAATACTTGTATCACACTTTACCTCAATCATGTTGTTAATGGCATGGGTACTAAAAATTGGGATGGAGGAGCAAATTATTTTCTTGGTGATAAATTTATATCCCTAACATTTATTTATGAAAGAGATTTTATGTTGAAAATAACTAGTATTTCCTATCTCTCCCAATTCAAGACCTACCTTTTATGTTGTTTACATCCCAGTGTATTTTAGGTGTTTGTAGGTATTTTAACTATGGCACTAATATCTATCCTTGGGCAATCAACCTCAAACTTTGTGACTTGAGTCAGACATTGACTCTCTGTACAAAAAAAAAGTATTAGCTGAGTCACCTACGGATAATGAATAGGACTCTTCCTTCCAAGTCATGAAAATCATGGATTTCAAATCCAACTCCAGGACTTGAGACAACATAATCAAGTCTGGCATTCGCTATTTAGTACAGAGAATACTTTGTGGATAGAAAATAGTGTGGTATGAATTATATTCCAAACATTATAGACAAGCAGCGATTGCATGAGAAATGGCCAGCTGGTAATGGCACTTAGTAAAGATTAAAAGATGAGGCAATTGACTGACAAATATAACATGCCAACGCTTAGGAAAGATGGTTTGGAGATATTACAGACTGAAGTCATCAACTATACAAAATACCGTTGGCAGCAAGCTAGTTTTTGAAAACTTATTACAGGTGAGAGATGCAGGCGAAGGGTTCCCCTGGCAGCAAGTACGGCACTGGGAAGGACAAGGATTATCTGGTAGA